ACAACAACAACAACAACAGCAACATATAACTTATTCATTATTTACCTTTCCCTCAGTTTTCTGGCTTACAACTCGCTCCTTTCTGCTGACTTGAATCTTATTCTGAAAGGATTAAAACAGCTTCGCGTCATGTAAGTGTTTATTTTTTTCTTGAAGATAAGAAAAAGAAGGGGAAGGCTGATGGAATGTGAGAGGAGAGAGGTCAATAGATGTAAGGCGGAGGCTAGAGGGCTGATAATTTTACCAGTAAAAAACGGGCTAACGTTAAGCAAAAATAAATTAAACTTATATGTGAGTATTTCTTCGGATTTTTAACAAAAAATGATATCTTTAAGAGTTCAGTAAATGATATGCTTGCCGGTTTCAAGCCTCGTGAAGCTTCTTGTTCACTTGGATAATTCCTTACAGGAATATCGATTGGAATGAAAGGATAGGACCAACTCTCTCGTCAGATGTTTTTGCTGGTTTTGTCAAGATGGAGCGCCTGTAAGTTTAGATCTGCATACGGATGACATATGGCTGCTGTGAAACTGTTGAATAGAGAGCTAAGTATAGCGATTCCCTATTTTTAACATAGTTTAATGATTTTACTTTATAGTAAATAAGTGGCAGCGTTCTTGGTTTCCATGACGTCGCTTAATTTACCAATTTTAACTCGTTCTACCTGGAACTATGTAAGGCATTTACCCAACTAATCATAAAAATTACAATTTCCTCGATTGTGATTGCTTTAAAAAACTCCTATTTTCCACAAATTTACTTGCCAAGTTGTTATCGGACAGTTTGTTATTGGACAGTTTGTTATTGGACAGTTCAATAAACCAATCACATTCAAATTTGTAGTTTAAATCAACCAATAACATTCAAAGATGTAGTTACGTGCGTGCGTGCGCGCACTTGCTTTTGTGTTTTTGGCGCCTAATTGCAGGTAGGAGGCGCGGTGGCCTTAGCATGTTTCCATCTCCTTTGTAGGTATTTTAATGCAAGTTTTCCTTTCTTTCATAACTTGGCTATTCTTCTTTTCTCGGAAATTGTAATTTTTATGATTAATTGGTAATATGACTTCGTGTCGTCCAATTCGGTCTGTAGTCATACTCGTGATAAATAAATGGGACTCCCGCTGCTCGATCGTCCGCTTTTGTTATCACTCTTATGATAACCGACCGAATTAGACCACTCAGTCTTATTACCATTACTTATTTCTTGATTTATTGTTCATGAGGGATGACCACATGAAGCTTGTTTCCAAGAAGACAAAAGCTGGCTCAGTACTATCATTTTTATAATTCTTTTTTCAGCTCCAACCATAGACAATGTTTTCTTCTATCGTCGCGATTGTGCCAGGTTGCGAAAATGACGACATCGAGCGTCTTCACACTTAATGAGATTTGCATAGCTAATCATATGATTTCCAGTGCAATTTGGAATAAACAAGCACGCGCATATTTTTCAAACGCTAACAATTTGTAGTCTTTGGAAAATTTACTTATTATTATTATTTATATATTTATTCCAAATTGTAAGAGGATTTGATGAATGTGATCATGTGATTACTTGTTAACCCTCGGACGTACAAGGGGGATGGATGTCCCCCTCCTATAAGGTTTTTTTAAAGTTTTGAACAGGCGATTTGCACTAATAGCTGAAACTTTTAGTAGCTGTTCCTTCATTCTCTGTCTGAATTTTGATATGTTAGTTGTGTGTCCATCATTTTTGACGTTGCCATGGCACCCATCAAATTCTATGTAGTTCTGACTAATAATCAGCTTTTTTGAGATCATTCTGTAGTTTTTCCAGTTTTCTTCGTCAAATAGCAAGAATTCATGATTCTGTACATTTAATAATCGTTCTGGCTTGATTTTGTGTTAATTTCTTTTGTTTCTTGACTTTTTTAAAAAAATAGTGAAATCCAAGTTGGCGGATCCAAGATGGCGGGTCATTACCAACAAAAATGGTATCATCTCGTAGAGCAAGCTCAGGGCTATGTATTATTTGTTACCTTCATAAGGGTTCGGTTGATCTTCGGAGGTGCTCGGGAAACGTCCAATTACTTTCGGCTATCGTCGTAAGGCTTTGCATGCACTTCGTCCGCCTTCGAAATACCTCGGATTACCGTCGGTAGTCATGAGCGGCTTCATACTAACTTCGGATATCTTCGTTACAATTTATAATTTTCAAATTTGCACCGGTGCTACATGAAAACTGCACTCCTTTCTAGCCAATCAGAAGTGAGTGATGTTTTCAAGAGTATTATTACACCAATAATATTTGAACTAGCCAAACATATTGAATAACACAAGGCTGCGGTATGATTACACCGATAAGGTCACTGTAGGCGATATTATTAAGCGAAACCAAATTCCAGATTAGTTATTGTGAAACAAGAATGCGAAGAGCGTTGCTCATTTGAATCAGGTAAATGTAAAGGAAAAACTAAAGGAATTAGGTAACGACAAATTTCAGAACGGCACAGCCGAAAATTCAGCAGATTAAAGAGTCTGTTCTATCTTTAACCCGACATTTTAGAATTAGCACAGGTTATCGTATGAATGTGAGTGCAATTATGAGATTACACTAGGAGTGATATTTGAAAATTCTCTCAAAATTGCACGAGCTTTCAGGCGAGTGTAATTTGAAAGAATTTTGAAATATCACGAGTAGTAGAAATGCTCGAGCCTTCATACGATTACTCATTCATTATAAGACTGGGAAAATCACGAAAGCGCGCGCGTTAGTTTGCAGTGCAGTGAAAATTAAAAATTAACGATAAATTGTGCTGCTCTCAGCCGATCATGATGAAGCAATTTTCTCAGTTATATAATAAATTTAGGAACAGAAGAAAGAAAACAACCCCCTTGTTAGAAACAACTTGATTGAGGTGCTGGCTACCCAAAATAACGTGAGTTAAAAACGTCAGCCAGCCAATTTAAAGAAAAGACATTTTACATGTTTAGGTCAGGGACACAAACAAACAAACAAACATAGACACACACATAATAAGAGAATAAAACAGGTTAAGGTGATAACGAGTAGACTAAAGTTCTTACATTGCAAAAAGAGGTTCTTTACTTTCAAAAGATTCTAAACTTGAAGAGAAAGAAAAATGTAACACGGTTTTAGGGCTGTTACATTTCTCAATGTGTTTTGAATTGGAGTATCTAACTTTATTGTCGGGAATTAATGTAGGTTTAAATTCCCCCAAATCGAGAAAGGAGCTGATTTGTCAGGAGCAACAACGATTAGTGGTAGCGTTGGGCGTTAATGAGAGATTTTTCGGAAAAACCCCTTCGTTTCAAAAATATAGCTGATAATCCCTCATTCTACTTTTATCAATATATTTGTAAAACTCGCTGTCTACCTTCTTGAACTCTGCAGTTATTTCAAATAGCCAGCCCACCCTCTCGCTTTTTTTTTTAAAATAAGTTATCAAATAACTGTATGTTGCTCTTTCCTGCTAATTTATCAAGCAACTTCCGGAGTTTTTGTAGAAAAAATTAAAGTTTGTTTAAAAAACAAATGTGAGGATCAGGAGATAAATAAATATATAGCTATAAAGTAATCAAAATGTCATATGATGATAGCCTTATATGGGTCGTTTTTAGTGTAAATTGGTTTGAGTAGAATGTGGCAAAGAGAACTTTACTACAGACAAACAATTAAAGAAAACTTTATTTTAATCTCTTGAGTGAGAGAGTAAATCATAAAAGCTGGTGGTGGGAAAACGTTGCCCGCTTTTGCAATCGATAAGATAACTAAAACGCTGTGGCTATGCAGTGGCGGATCCAGACCTTGAGATAAGGGGGGAGAGGGCGGTTTTGTTTTGCTTACCCTGCCAGCTTTTCTTCCTTCTGTGATTTCTTCTTCTGTTACCCAAAATAAGAGGGATCGGACCCCCAAGCCCTCCCCTAGATCCGCCACTGCTATGTGACCGGCAACCGGTCAAGGTTTTAAATAGACTAAATGACCGGAAGTGAGAGGAATCGAGCCCGGGTCGCCCGCATTGCAAGCGATACTCATTATCATTTCGCCACCGAAACCGACTGTTACAGTACTAACATTACTTACAAAATTACGCGTTCACAGCACTGTGCATTAATTACTATACTTTAACATCTAAATAGTACAGAGCTGTTCAAGATGTAGGGGAATTCACAAGATTGTAACTACAACTATATCAGAGGATACATTTTCGTTAATTGATATTTATCTAAAATATTTTATTATAATTAATTGATATTTTCCAGATTGTACTTAAGAGATAATTTATTGATGAATTCGTGCGTGTAAATGCCCTTACTATTGATTTTGTTTGAATATATGTAATGGCGCATAGATAGGGTAGTGTAGTTAAATTTTTTGATTATTTTTGTTTCTTTGGAGCTAGGAATAATACCGAACAAGAGTTCCTTGGTGGTAGGGGAGATCTGACAACAATTAGCTTCGTTAAACCATTGTGTAACTTTTTTTGCAAAGGACCTGGTAAACGGGTATTCAATAAAAGTGTACTCAATAGAGTCCTTACCCCACAATACAGGCATTCGTCATCACTCTTGATGCCGAATACAAATAGTTCTTTCCTAGTTATTACGATTCTGTAAATTAGTTTGAACTGACACTCTTTTAGCCTAGTTTCCTTACAAATATTTTTCGGTGACCTGAAAATACTGGTCCACGAATCCTTATTTATAGAAAGATTTCACTCCAACGTTTGGGGCCAGTTTGATCATGGGTGTGAGTCTTGGAGACAAGCAACTTATAGCAATGTCTTGACCTTGCCGTGCCAAAATTAATTTGTGCCGATTCATTCAGAAGAAAAATAGTGTCCTTACTGGTAAAGAACGATTTGTTAAAGGTGTCAGGTTGCTTGGCTATGGAGAGGAGGTGCTTAGGAATGGCGCTGAGCACTTGATAATATTGTAGAAAACTGGTTTTGCATGAATATTTAATGGCGAATGCTTGAAAAGGTAACAGATTATCGGTTTCATCTAAAAAATTCTTAATAGAAATGATACCCTTCTTGAACCAATCACTCCAAAAAATTGGTTTCCCGCCAATAAGTATTTCTTTGTTGTTGAATCATATTATATCTTGTTTTTGATAATAATCATAGAGATTTTTTAATTCATTAAAATTATCAAGAATCTTCTTGTAAAAAATGGTAAATTGTTGAAGTGTTTTGTATCGTAGTTACACCTTAAGAGAAAGTTTAGGCCACCCATTCTCTGAAAGAAATGGTTCGGGATGGTGCACCAGTTACTTTTATCCGATTTTATCAATCTAGGGATTCATGCAAGTTTTAAGACTTTGAACATAATATTTGTGTCGGTCATGCGTATTCCTCCTCTATCTTGGTCTTGATAAAGACCAGATCTTTTTATTTTATCTTTTTTGTTCCTCCATAGAAATCTAAACAATTTTGTTTTCTCTAAATCCACCGTTCCCCTCAGGAACTACAAGGTTTGAAACCGAATAAACTAATTGTGATA